GGGGCTGTTGCAGTGTGGAGACAGCCCCTGCCAGCACCTCCACTCCCAGTAGGCCTCAGCAGAGGCCTAGGCCCAGGGAAAGGGCCTGGCAGGGCTCCGTTGAGGGAGGCGCAAGGGCATGTCTGGACACACTCCCCACAGCCTGTTCCTTCATGGGGCAGTTACCCTGGAGGCCAGGAAGGCCTGGGCAAGGCTGGCCAAGAGCAGGGGCATTGCTGGGTTCTGCCTCTGGCCTGAGGGGCCTCTGAGCAGGACCTGCCCTCTCCCTCTGGAAGACCTCCCCGCCTGCGTGCAAATCCCCGTTTGCAAGCACTCTGGCCGGGTGTTCCCGCAAGGCTCGCACTCTGGTCTCAAAGCCGGGAGAAAAGCGCTTTGGGGTGGGCCTCTCTCAGGGCCCATGGCCCTGAGCCTGGGGACCAGCTAGGGGGTCCACACTCCCAGGCCAAGGCAGAACCACATGCACACGTCTGTTCCTGCCCCCTGCCCCTTCAGAGAGCTCGGCTGAGCCGCAGTCTCTCAGGCAGTTCCCTGGCAGCCCCGGCAGCACTGCCTGTGTGGGAAGCGGGAGAGCCGACCTAGGTGCACTGTGGGCCCCTTGCTCTCCCTGCTGCCCTGAGGCTGCTGGGCCAAAGAGGGCTTGGCTATCTACCCCCTTTCTCCCCTCTTCCCTCTGCCAGAAGGCTCTGCCCCCGGGGCTGTTGCAGTGTGGAGACAGCCCCTGCCAGCACCTCCACTCCCAGTAGGCCTCAGCAGAGGCCTAGGCCCAGGGAAAGGCCCAGGCAGGGCTGCGTTGAGGGAGGCGCAAGGGCATGTCTGGACACACTCCCACAGCCTGTTCCTTCATGGGGCAGTTACCCTGGAGGCCAGGAAGGCCTGGGCAAGGCTGGCCAAGAGCAGGGGCATTGCTGGGTTCTGCCTCTGGCCTGTGGGGCCTCTGAGCAGGACATGCCCTCTCCCTCTGGAAGACCTCCCCGCCTGCGTGCAAATCCCCGTTTGCAAGCACTCTGGCCGGGTGTTCCCGCAAGGCTCGCACTCTGGTCTCAAAGCCGGGAGAAAAGCGCTTTGGGGTGGGCCTCTCTCAGGGCCCATGGCCCTGAGCCTGGGGACCAGCTAGGGGGTCCACACTCCCAGGCCAAGGCAGAACCACATGCACACGTCTGTTCCTGCCCCCTGCCCCTTCAGAGAGCTCGGCTGAGCCGCAGTCTCTCAGGCAGTTCCCTGGCAGCCCCGGCAGCACTGCCTGTGTGGGAAGCGGGAGAGCCGACCTAGGTGCACTGTGGGCCCCTTGCTCTCCCTGCTGCCCTGAGGCTGCTGGGCCAAAGAGGGCTTGGCTATCTACCCCCTTTCTCCCCTCTTCCCTCTGCCAGAAGGCTCTGCCCCCGGGGCTGTTGCAGTGTGGAGACAGCCCCTGCCAGCACCTCCACTCCCAGTAGGCCTCAGCAGAGGCCTAGGCCCAGGGAAAGGCCCAGGCAGGGCTGCGTTGAGGGAGGCGCAAGGGCATGTCTGGACACAATCCCCACAGCCTGTTCCTTCATGGGGCAGTTACCCTGGAGGCCAGGAAGGCCTGGGCAAGGCTGGCCAAGAGCAGGGGCATTGCTGGGTTCTGCCTCTGGCCTGTGGGGCCTCTGAGCAGGACCTGCCCTCTCCCTCTGGAAGACCTCCCCGCCTGCGTGCAAATCCCCGTTTGCAAGCACTCTGGCCGGGTGTTCCCGCAAGGCTCGCACTCTGGTCTCAAAGCCGGGAGAAAAGCGCTTTGGGGTGGGCCTCTCTCAGGGCCCATGGCCCTGAGCCTGGGGACCAGCTAGGGGGTCCACACTCCCAGGCCAAGGCAGAACCACATGCACACGTCTGTTCCTGCCCCCTGCCCCTTCAGAGAGCTCGGCTGAGCCGCAGTCTCTCAGGCAGTTCCCTGGCAGCCCCGGCAGCACTGCCTGTGTGGGAAGCGGGAGAGCCGACCTAGGTGCACTGTGGGCCCCTTGCTCTCCCTGCTGCCCTGAGGATGCTGGGCCAAAGAGGGCTTGGCTATCTACCCCCTTTCTCCCCTCTTCCCTCTGCCAGAAGGCTCTGCCCCCGGGGCTGTTGCAGTGTGGAGACAGCCCCTGCCAGCACCTCCACTCCCAGTAGGCCTCAGCAGAGGCCTAGGCCCAGGGAAAGGCCCAGGCAGGGCTGCGTTGAGGGAGGCGCAAGGGCATGTCTGGACACACTCCCCACAGCCTGTTCCTTCATGGGGCAGTTACCCTGGAGGCCAGGAAGGCCTGGGCAAGGCTGGCCAAGAGCAGGGGCATTGCTGGGTTCTGCCTCTGGCCTGTGGGGCCTCTGAGCAGGACCTGCCCTCTCCCTCTGGAAGTCCTCCCCGCCTGCGTGCAAATCCCCGTTTGCAAGCACTCTGGCCGGGTGTTCCCGCAAGGCTCGCACTCTGGTCTCAAAGCCGGGAGAAAAGCGCTTTGGGGTGGGCCTCTCTCAGGGCCCATGGCCCTGAACCTGGGGACCAGCTAGGGGGTCCACACTCCCAGGCCAAGGCAGAACCACATGCACACGTCTGTTCCTGCCCCCTGCCCCTTCAGAGAGCTGGGCTGAGCCGCAGTCTCTCAGGCAGTTCCCTGGCAGCCCCGGTAGCACTGCCTGTGTGGGAAGCGGGAGAGCCGACCTAGGTGCACTGTGGGCCCCTTGCTCTCCCTGCTGCCCTGAGGCTGCTGGGCCAAAGAGGGCTTGGCTATCTACCCCCTTTCTCCCCTCTTCCCTCTGCCAGAAGGCTCTGCCCCCGGGGCTGTTGCAGTGTGGAGACAGCCCCTGCCAGCACCTCCACTCCCAGTAGGCCTCAGCAGAGGCCCAGGCCCAGGGAAAGGCCCAGGCAGGGCTGCGTTGAGGGAGGCGCAAGGGCATGTCTGGACACACTCCCCACAGCCTGTTCCTTCATGGGGCAGTTACCCTGGAGGCCAGGAAGGCCTGGGCAAGGCTGGCCAAGAGCAGGGGCATTGCTGGGTTCTGCCTCTGGCCTGTGGGGCCTCTGAGCAGGACCTGCCCTCTCCCTCTGGAAGACCTCCCCGCCTGCGTGCAAATCCCCGTTTGCAAGCACTCTGGCCGGGTGTTCCCGCAAGGCTCGCACTCTGGTCTCAAAGCCGGGAGAAAAGCGCTTTGGGGTGGGCCTCTCTCAGGGCCCATGGCCCTGAGCCTGGGGACCAGCTAGGGGGTCCACACTCCCAGGCCAAGGCAGAACCACATGCACACGTCTGTTCCTGCCCCCTGCCCCTTCAGAGAGCTCGGCTGAGCCGCAGTCTCTCAGGCAGTTCCCTGGCAGCCCCGGCAGCACTGCCTGTGTGGGAAGCGGGAGAGCCGACCTAGGTGCACTGTGGGCCCCTTGCTCTCCCTGCTGCCCTGAGGCTGCTGGGCCAAAGAGGGCTTGGCTACCTACCCCCTTTCTCCCCTCTTCCCTCTGCCAGAAGGCTCTGCCCCCGGGGCTGTAGCAGTGTGGAGACAGCCCCTGCCAGCACCTCCACTCCCAGTAGGCCTCAGCAGAGGCCTAGTACCAGGGAAAGGCCCAGGCAGGGCTGCGTTGAGGGAGGCGCAAGGGCATGTCTGGACACACTCCCCACAGCCTGTTCCTTCATGGGGCAGTTACCCTGGAGGCCAGGAAGGCCTGGGCAAGGCTGGCCAAGAGCAGGGGCATTGCTGGGTTCTGCCTCTGGCCTGTGGGGCCTCTGAGCAGGACCTGCCCTCTCCCTCTGGAAGTCCTCCCCGCCTGCGTGCAAATCCCCGTTTGCAAGCACTCTGGCCGGGTGTTCCCGCAAGGCTCGCACTCTGGTCTCAAAGCCGGGAGAAAAGCGCTTTGGGGTGGGCCTCTCTCAGGGCCCATGGCCCTGAGCCTGGGGAACAGCTAGGGGGTCCACACACCCAGGCCAAGGCAGAACCACATGCACACGTCTGTTCCTGCCCCCTGCCCCTTCAGAGAGCTCGGCTGAGCCGCAGTCTCTCAGGCAGTTCCCTGGCAGCCCCGGCAGCACTGCCTGTGTGGGAAGCGGGAGAGCCGACCTAGGTGCACTGTGGGCCCTTTGCTCTCCCTGCTGCCCTGAGGCTGCTGGGCCAAAGAGGGCTTGGCTACCTACCCCCTTTCTCCCCTCTTCCCTCTGCCAGAAGGCTCTGCCCCCGGGGCTGTTGCAGTGTGGAGACAGCCCCTGCCAGCACCTCCACTCCCAGTAGGCCTCAGCAGAGGCCTAGGCCCAGGGAAAGGGCCAGGCAGGGCTGCGTTGAGGGAGCGCAAGGGCATGTCTGGACACACTCCCCACAGCCTGTTCCTTCATGGGGCAGTTACATTGGAGGCCAGGAAGGCCTGGGCAGGGCTGGCCAAGAGCAGGGGCATTGCTGGGTTCTGCCTCTGGCCTGTGGGGCCTCTGAGCAGGACCTGCCCTCTCCCTCTGGAAGACCTCCCCGCCTGCGTGCAAATCCCCGTTTGCAAGCACTCTGGCCGGGTGTTCCCGCAAGGCTCGCACTCTGGTCTCAAAGCCGGGACAAAAGCGCTTTGGGGTGGGCCTCTCTCAGGGCCCATGGCCCTGAGCCTCGGGACCAGCTAGGTGGTCCACATTCCCAGGCCAGGGCAGAACCACATGCACACGTCTGTTCCTGCCCCCTGCACCTTCAGAGAGCTCGGCTGAGCCGCAGTCTCTCAGGCAGTTCCCTGGCAGCCCCGGCAGCACTGCCTGTGTGGGAAGCGGGAGAGCCGACCTAGGTGCACTGTGGGCCCCTTGCTCTTCCTGCTGCCCTGAGGCTGCTGGGCCAAAGAGGGCTTGGCTATCTACCCCCTTTCTCCCCTGTTCCCTCTGCCAGAAGGCTCTGCTCCCGGGGCTGTTGCAGTGTGGAGATAGCCCCTGCCAGCACCTCCACTCCCAGTAGGCCTCAGCAGAGGCCTAGGCCCAGGGAAAGGGCCAGGCAGGGCTGCGTTTAGGGAGGCGCAAGGGCATGTCTGGACACACTCCCCACAGCCTGTTCCTTCATGGGGCAGTTACCCTGGAGGCCAGGAAGGCCTGGGCATTGCTGGCCACGAGCAGGGGCATTGCTGGGTTCTGCCTCTGGCCTGTGGGGCCTCTGAGCAGGACCTGCCCTCTCCCTCTGGAAGACCTCCCCGCCTGCCTGCAAATCCCCGTTTGCAAGCACTCTGGCCGGGTGTTCCCGCAAGGCTCGCACTCTGGTCTCAAAGCCGGGAGAAAAGCGCTTTGGGGTGGGCCTCTCTCAGGGCCCATGGCCCTGAGCCTGGGGACCAGCTAGGGGGTCCACACTCCCAGGCCAAGGCAGAACCACATGCACACGTCTGTTCCTGCCCCCTGCCCCTTCAGAGAGCTCGGCTGAGCCGCAGTCTCTCAGGCAGTTCCCTGGCAGCCCCGGCAGCACTGCCTGTGTGGGAAGCGGGAGAGCCGACCTAGGTGCACTGTGGGCCCCTTGCTCTCCCTGCTGCCCTGAGGCTGCTGGGCCAAAGAGGGCTTGGCTACCTACCCCCTTTCTCCCCTGTTCCCTCTGCCAGAAGGCTCTGCCCCCGGGGCTGTTGCAGTGTGGAGACAGCCCCTGCCAGCACCTCCAATCCCAGTAGGCCTCAGCAGAGGCCTAGGCCCAGGGAACGGCCCAGGCAGGGCTGCGTTGAGGGAGGCGCAAGGGCATGTCTGGACACACTCCCCACAGCCTGTTCCTTCATGGGGCAGTTACCCTGGAGGCCAGGAAGGCCTGGGCAGGGCTGGCCAAGAGCAGGGGCATTGCTGGGTTCTGCCTCTGGCCTGTGGGGCCTCTGAGCAGGACCTGCCCTCTCCCTCTGGAAGACCTCCCCGCCTGCGTGCAAATCCCCGTTTGCAAGCACTCTGGCCGGGTGTTCCCGCAAGGCTCGCACTCTGGTCTCAAAGCCGGGAGAAAAGCGCTTTGGGGTGGGCCTCTCTCAGGGCCCATGGCCCTGAGCCTGGGGACCAGCTAGGGGGTCCACACTCCCAGGCCAAGGCAGAACCACATGCACACGTCTGTTCCTGCCCCCTGCCCCTTCAGAGAGCTCGGCTGAGCCGCAGTCTCTCAGGCAGTTCCCTGGCAGCCCCGGCAGCACTGCCTGTGTGGGAAGCGGGAGAGCCGACCTAGGTGCACTGTGGGCCCCTTGCTCTCCCTGCTGCCCTGAGGCTGCTGGGCCAAAGAGGGCTTGGCTACCTACCCCCTTTCTCCCCTCTTCCCTCTGCCAGAAGGCTCTGCCCCCGGGGCTGTTGCAGTGTGGAGACAGCCCCTGCCAGCACCTCCACTCCCAGTAGGCCTCAGCAGAGGCCTAGGCCCAGGGAAAGGGCCTGGCAGGGCTGCGTTGAGGGAGGCGCAAGGGCATGTCTGGACACACTCCCCACAGCCTGTTCCTTCATGGGGCAGTTACCCTGGAGGCCAGGAAGGCCTGGGCAAGGCTTGCCAAGAGCAGGGGCATTGCTGGGTTCTGCCTCTGGCCTGTGGGGCCTCTGAGCAAGACCTGCCCTCTCCCTCTGGAAGACCTCCCCGCCTGCGTGCAAATCCCCGTTTGCAAGCACTCTGGCCGGGTGTTCCCGCAAGGCTCGCACTCTGGTCTCAAAGCCGGGAGAAAAGCGCTTTGGGGTGGGCCTCTCTCAGGGCCCATGGCCCTGAGCCTGGGGACCAGCTAGGGGGTCCACACTCCCAGGCCAAGGCAGAACCACATGCACACGTCTGTTCCTGCCCCCTGCCCCTTCAGAGAGCTCGGCTGAGCCGCAGTCTCTCAGGCAGTTCCCTGGCAGCCCCGGCAGCACTGCCTGTGTGGGAAGCGGGAGAGCCGACCTAGGTGCACTGTGGGCCCCTTGCTCTCCCTGCTGCCCTGAGGCTGCTGGGCCAAAGAGGGCTTGGCTATCTACCCCCTTTCTCCCCTCTTCCCTCTGCCAGAAGGCTCTGCCCCCGGGGCTGTTGCAGTGTGGAGACAGCCCCTGCCAGCACCTCCCCTCCCAGTAGGCCTCAGCAGAGGCCTAGGCCCAGGGAAAGGCCCAGGCAGGGCTGCGTTGAGGGAGGCGCAAGGGCATGTCTGGACACACTCCCCACAGCCTGTTCCTTCATGGGGCAGTTACCCTGGAGGCCAGGAAGGCCTGGGCAAGGCAGGCCAAGAGCAGGGGCATTGCTGGGTTCTGCCTCTGGCCTGTGGGGCCTCTGAGCAGGACCTGCCCTCTCCCTCTGGAAGACCTCCCCGCCTGCCTGCAAATCCCCGTTTGCAAGCACTCTGGCCGGGTGTTCCCGCAAGGCTCGCACTCTGGTCTCAAAGCCGGGAGAAAAGCGCTTTGGGGTGGGCCTCTCTCAGGGCCCATGGCCCTGAGCCTGGGGACCAGCTAGGGGGTCCACACTCCCAGGCCAAGGCAGAACCACATGCACACGTCTGTTCCTGCCCCCTGCCCCTTGAGAGAGCTCGGCTGAGCCGCAGTCTCTCAGGCAGTTCCCTGGCAGCCCCGGCAGCACTGCCTGTGTGGGAAGCGGGAGAGCCGACCTAGGTGCACTGTGGGCCCCTTGCTCTCCCTGCTGCCCTGAGGCTGCTGGGCCAAAGAGGGCTTGGCTATCTACCCCCTTTCTCCCCTCTTCCCTCTGCCAGAAGGCTCTGCCCCCGGGGATGTTGCAGTGTGGAGACAGCCCCTGCCAGCACCTCCCCTCCCAGTAGGCCTCAGCAGAGGCCTAGGCCCAGGGAAAGGCCCAGGCAGGGCTGCGTTGAGGGAGGCGCAAGGGCATGTCTGGACACACTCCCCACAGCCTGTTCCTTCATGGGGCAGTTACCCTGGAGGCCAGGAAGGCCTGGGCAAGGCAGGCCAAGAGCAGGGGCATTGCTGGGTTCTGCCTCTGGCCTGTGGGGCCTCTGAGCAGGACCTGCCCTCTCCCTCTGGAAGACCTCCCCGCCTGCCTGCAAATCCCCGTTTGCAAGCACTCTGGCCGGGTGTTCCCGCAAGGCTCGCACTCTGGTCTCAAAGCCGGGAGAAAAGCGCTTTGGGGTGGGCCTCTCTCAGGGCCCATGGCCCTGAGCCTGGGGACCAGCTAGGGGGTCCACACTCCCAGGCCAAGGCAGAACCACATGCACACGTCTGTTCCTGCCCCCTGCCCCTTCAGAGAGCTCGGCTGAGCCGCAGTCTCTCAGGCAGTTCCCTGGCAGCCCCGGCAGCACTGCCTGTGTGGGAAGCGGGAGAGCCGACCTAGGTGCACTGTGGGCCCCTTGCTCTCCCTGCTGCCCTGAGGCTGCTGGGCCAAAGAGGGCTTGGCTATCTACCCCCTTTCTCCCCTCTTCCCTCTGCCAGAAGGCTCTGCCCCCGGGGCTGTTGCAGTGTGGAGACAGCCCCTGCCAGCACCTCCCCTCCCAGTAGGCCTCAGCAGAGGCCTAGGCCCAGGGAAAGGGCCAGGCAGGGCTGCGTTGAGGGAGGCGCAAGGGCATGTCTGGACACACTCCCCACAGCCTGTTCCTTCATGGGGCAGTTACCCTGGAGGCCAGGAAGGCCTGGGCAAGGCTGGCCAAGAGCAGGGGCATTGCTGGGTTCTGCCTCTGGCCTGTGGGGCCTCTGAGCAGGACCTGCCCTCTCCCTCTGGAAGACCTCCCCGCCTGCCTGCAAATCCCCGTTTGCAAGCACTCTGGCCGGGTGTTCCCGCAAGGCTCGCACTCTGGTCTCAAAGCCGGGAGAAAAGCGCTTTGGGGTGGGCCTCTCTCAGGGCCCATGGCCCTGAGCCTGGGGACCAGCTAGGGGGTCCACACTCCCAGGCCAAGGCAGAACCACATGCACACGTCTGTTCCTGCCCCCTGCCCCTTCAGAGAGCTCGGCTGAGCCGCAGTCTCTCAGGCAGTTCCCTGGCAGCCCCGGCAGCACTGCCTGTGTGGGAAGCGGGAGAGCCGACCTAGGTGCACTGTGGGCCCCTTGCTCTCCCTGCTGCCCTGAGGCTGCTGGGCCAAAGAGGGCTTGGCTATCTACCCCCTTTCTCCCCTCTTCCCTCTGCCAGAAGGCTCTGCCCCCGGGGCTGTTGCAGTGTGGAGACAGCCCCTGCCAGCACCTCCCCTCCCAGTAGGCCTCAGCAGAGGCCTAGGCCCAGGGAAAGGCCCAGGCAGGGCTGCGTTGAGGGAGGCGCAAGGGCATGTCTGGACACACTCCCCACAGCCTGTTCCTTCATGGGGCAGTTACCCTGGAGGCCAGGAAGGCCTGGGCAAGGCTGGCCAAGAGCAGGGGCATTGCTGGGTTCTGCCTCTGGCCTGTGGGGCCTCTGAGCAGGACCTGCCCTCTCCCTCTGGAAGACCTCCCCGCCTGCCTGCAAATCCCCGTTTGCAAGCACTCTGGCCGGGTGTTCCCGCAAGGCTCGCACTCTGGTCTCAAAGCCGGGAGAAAAGCGCTTTGGGGTGGGCCTCTCTCAGGGCCCATGGCCCTGAGCCTGGGGACCAGCTAGGGGGTCCACACTCCCAGGCCAAGGCAGAACCACATGCACACGTCTGTTCCTGCCCCCTGCCCCTTCAGAGAGCTCGGCTGAGCCGCAGTCTCTCAGGCAGTTCCCTGGCAGCCCCGGCAGCACTGCCTGTGTGGGAAGCGGGAGAGCCGACCTAGGTGCACTGTGGGCCCCTTGCTCTCCCTGCTGCCCTGAGGCTGCTGGGCCAAAGAGGGCTTGGCTATCTACCCCCTTTCTCCCCTCTTCCCTCTGCCAGAAGGCTCTGCCCCCGGGGCTGTTGCAGTGTGGAGACAGCCCCTGCCAGCACCTCCCCTCCCAGTAGGCCTCAGCAGAGGCCTAGGCCCAGGGAAAGGCCCAGGCAGGGCTGCGTTGAGGGAGGCGCAAGGGCATGTCTGGACACACTCCCCACAGCCTGTTCCTTCATGGGGCAGTTACCCTGGAGGCCAGGAAGGCCTGGGCAAGGCAGGCCAAGAGCAGGGGCATTGCTGGGTTCTGCCTCTGGCCTGTGGGGCCTCTGAGCAGGACCTGCCCTCTCCCTCTGGAAGACCTCCCCGCCTGCCTGCAAATCCCCGTTTGCAAGCACTCTGGCCGGGTGTTCCCGCAAGGCTCGCACTCTGGTCTCAA